CCTATCATCACTGCTTTGAACTCTGAAACAAAAAGAAAAGCCGTGTGTGAGCAGATGACTTTGTTTACAAACATCTCTACTATCAATCAATGTAAAGGGGTGCCGAATTTGATCGCGATTAGTGATACAGTACCTAGTCCATGAGTCTGGACAATTATTAAAATGAAGCTTTTTGTGTTTTGCCACGTCGGTCGCTGTTATATTTTCAAAATAAATAGTTCCCATGACTCTCAATGACAGAATGCGAAACAGAATTCGAACGATAGAAAAAAGTTACTACAGTAGATGTTGTGATGTTACTTTAGTGGATCATATACCACACGAAACACTTTGCCAACGAATGAAAGCAGAAAATAAATCAATAGACTAGATAAAAAAACAGCTACCTTGATATGGCCATATCAAAAGGATGACACACGAAACATTACCCGTGAAAGTTTTCGAATCGGTTCCATAAAGGAAGAAGTAGACCTAAAAATAAATGGAAAGACGAAATAAGGATAGCTCTCAGAGAAAGGGAAGATTTCTGGAGGGATGAAAAGAACTGGCGCGGGTACTGTAGAAAGTACCTAAATATTCCTATAAAACAGTTCCCATGATGAAATGTGTTTGTTTCTAGTGATACACTAATTCAATGAGGTATTCTGTTGTTAAAATAAACATGAGCGCGACGTTTAAGTTTGCAATCACATTTTGGCAAGTATGCAATAAATGCCTGGGAGGGCAGCGACAAGCCAATAGAAGTGACGGCCAAGTGCTCATGTAGGTAAATGCGGGGTAAATGAGGTTTGAATAGGGTATAGATTTGTACATACCTTCCCAGTCGACGGTTCCGGATCCATCTGTATCTATTTCGTCTATAATATTGTCCAAATCATCTTCGGACAGCTTTTCGTCCAATTCCCGGAGTATCTCTCTCAGTACATCTGTTGTGATGAATCCATTTCCTGGAAAGTTATATTTTTTCTCTATACTCTCAGGTATTCGACAAACAGAGCGAATTTTATGGGCAAGACTCCTGCATTCCTAATCCTACAGAAAATTGAATCGGTCATTTCAAAAACCACTCAAATCCACTTTGTTCTAATATGCTTGTCTTACGGAAAACATAAAAACTGGGTATATATCTAGGTAAGTTAATAAAAAAATAGCGCTTAATTGACGTTCATTGACATCACAGCATAAGTCCGGGACTTATTTGGTTTTTACAAGCACTACACTGGACAGTGGGAACTTGAATGAGTATTTCAAAAACAGTACCATGATCCTTGATTTGTTTGATTTTTATATTCTTGTGCTATATGCACCAATACTAAAACAGCAGCTACAACTGTGAATGAGTACAGTATCCACTTTGTCTTAACCGCTTTGCCCGAAAACCTTCGATATTTTGTAAAACCTGAAAGTTTCATTACATATATGTGCCTAATACACTTAAGGATGTTCAGCAACTATAAAACTTGGATAGTGGCAAACTAACTATCTTCATCCGCTTGAACATACAGGGGTGTTTATATATACAATTCATCATCCCCTTAAAAATGTTAAATGACAAGGAGTATCGAGTAATAGCTTGTTTGAAAGGTCTTTCGAAGTCCTTTATTTTGACGTTTGATTTTTTAAAATCAGTCGATTCGTTTTCGAGAAAATTAGAGAAACCTGTATTTATCTTCAGGTAGAAAACAAAAACACAGGAAAAAATCACTTTTCATTTCAATAAGTGTTCACTTGCCCGTTCTACAATTGCCAGATCTACAATTAATTCATAATTTAAAACGGAAACTACCAACATGAACAGCAATTCGGAAGATTAGATGTGGTAACAACCTAATAACAACCCGAATTTCTCCGCATTCTTTTCATCATCACAGATACCCTGGGCAAACTGTATTTATTGTTAATCCATCAATTCGCTTATCACTGAAATCATTGGAAACCAAATCGAAGAGGATGGGTACCCTGTACTTGATGAGGCTGAAATATATTTCCAGCAAGACGCCTCCTCACTATGTTCCTCCGGTTCGGCAATGGCTAGACGACGAGTTTACAGATAAATGGATAGGGCGAAGAGGGCCTATAGAATGACATGCTAGATCTCCTTATTTGACTCCATTAGACTTTTTTCTATGGGGCCATTTGAAATTTAAAGATCCCTATATCATTGTTTGGCTAATAACAGGCAACATTTTGAACAATTATTTAAATAAAAAGTGGTATTTTCGTCTGTTTTTGGTTTCTATATGAACAAATTAAGATAAATAAAGATATGTCTAATTTTCTTGAAAACGAATTGATCGATACTAGAAAATCAAACGTCAAAATGAAGGACTTCGAAAGACCTTTCAAACAAGCTATTACTCGATACCCCTTGTAAAAAAATTAAAGGGGAAATTTTAAGGGGATGGTGAATAACATATATAAATTTCAGCTTTGATATCATCACGAAAGTTCAACTCTAATTTCTTAGTGTTGTTTGGCAGGGGTTGAAATTGTACTGTCTGGTAATGAATAACGTCATTTCGAATATCATTCTGAATAAGATACCAAAAAAACTGGCCTATGTACTCCAATTAATTTGAGGAAACATTTTATGAACCTTTGCTACCTGTTACCTGCCAAAGTAGCCACTAAGCAACTTTCTTAGTGGCTGATCGTCCTTACCTTTGTCGGGAACATACAGAGAGAAGCTTTCAGATTTTATAAAATAACGTATGGAGTCTATCGACTCAATCCTCCTTATTTGTATGACTGAAAAAGTCGTTTAGGAGCATATTCCCTGAATATTTAAAAAGCTGCAAGAATAGTTAGTATTAAAATTCAATTGTACGCACAACATCTATTTTGAAAAATCGTTTGTAATATAACGTGCTATTTGGTAGTCAAAAAAGCATGTGGGTTCTTCTGCAAGCTTCTTCTGATTAGCAAACAAGGTTGAACGGATAAATAAATCTTTCTACTTTTTCATTGTGGTCGATTCATGATTTGGGTGTCACACGGGAAATTTAATTTTCCCGGGATGTTCGCTTTTCCTGGGATTCCTCTATATACTTTGAAGATATTGCCACGAGTGACAACCCTGGGCTTTACATCCCCTGATGAGTATGAATAATCAGCAATGGTGTATTCTTATATGCTAGGGTGGGGATATGATTGTTGTTAAACAGTAGTTGGATTGACACGCGAAGAGATTCCCGGTATGAGGGCAATCCCCCTCGGGGGTCTCTCTTGCCATTCTACCATGTGTGAGGGTCAGCTGCTCTCTATAGTTCCAACTACAGTAAGTACCGTTTCATATATTTACCATATATTTAATAAAGTTTATTTGTCAATACTTCCGTGATTTATCATTATCAACCCTTTGCAGCACCAAGCGAGAGAACAGGAGCAGAACCAAACACCATTCATATTCATGACAAGTATGGTTTTCGACCCATTTGGTAGTACTTTTGTTTCTTATTAGACCACCGATATGTAACGTATAAATAGGTCAACAAGCGTAATTTTCAATAATAAGCAATAAAAAATATGATTTTATATGATTCTTTCCCTTAACCTATTTCCAAACAACGTAAATCCAGAAAAGTTTTACATGCTTGTCCCATTTTTTACTAAACCCTGAGGTTTTTCGAAATTTCAATCCTCTACAAGTACCAATGGGTGATTTTTTTGCTAGTATCTTTTTGGCAACACTGTTTTTGACAGATGACGCGTGAATCGTGTCTTGTGTCATTGTCAGACTTGTTCAGTTTGGTCTATAATTTGACCATGAATCGACTTACGAACGAAGAACGCTTGCAAATTATTGAATTTTACTATCAAATTTCATGCTCGGTTAAGAGAGTGCATCAAGCACTGCTTCCACTTTATGGGCAATTTGGAAGCTTGTGACTAAATTTCGAACCCAGTTTACATTATTGGACATTAAACCACCAACGCGCAAACGTAGAGTGAGGACTGAAGAAAATATTGCGGCTGTATCCGCCAGTGTTAGTGATGACCGTGAAATGTCGATTCGCCGCCGTTCGCAGCAATTGGGCCTCTGTTACTCCACTACGTGGAAAATTTTGCGACAGGATTTGGACGTAAAACCTTATAAGATACAGCTGGTGCAAGAATTGAAGCCACACGACCTCCCACAACGTTTCCAATTTGGTGAATGGGCGCTGGCAAGGTTGGAGGAAGATCCACATTTTTATCGAAAAATTGTGTTCAGCGACGAAGCTCATTTCTGGTTGAATGGGTACGATAACAAGCAAAATTGCCGCATCTGGAGTGAAGACCAGCCAGAAGCATTGCAAGAGCTACCAATGCATCCCGAAAAAAATGACTGTTTGGTGTGGATTATGGGCCGGTGGCATCATCGGTCCGTACTTCTTCAAAGACGACGATGGCCGGAACGTAACTGTGAATGGCGAGCGCTACCGTGCGATGATAACAAACTTTTTTTGCCCAAAATGGAAGAGCTGGACTTGTCTGACATGTGGTTCCAACAAGACGGTGCCACATGCCACACGTTTGGGGCCCGTCAATTGGCCGCCTAGATCGTGTGATTTAACGTCGTTGGACTATTTCTTGTGGGGCCATGTTAAGGCTAATATCTACAGGAATAAACCAGCAACGATTGACGCACTGGAAGCCAATATTGAAGCATTTATTCGTGAGATACCGGCCGATATGTTGGAGAGAGTGTGCCAAAATTGGACCTTGCGCATGGGCCATCTAAAGCGGAGCCGCGCCCAACATTTACATGAAATAATCTTTAAACATTAAATTATATCGACCGTTCTATCGACTCAAATAAAGATTTAATCGTTTTTTCAAATTTTTTGTGTTTTTTTTGAAAATCAAATCATATACCTCTTAAAAAATCACCCGTTATATTGTGCCCAAGCAAGTGCTTTAAAACTTTTTCAAATTATACATCCTTTCTAGTGTTAGAAAAAGGGTTAAAATCATCGATTTCGCGACCTTTGTATGTTGTTACTACATTTTTGTTATACCTTCTTTGTCGTATAGTCTGAAGGCTCCCTTCAGTTCAACCTGAATAGCTTCTGTATCTTCGTCATCTTCGACCAAAAATCTAGCTGCCAAGTTAGCGAATTCTTCGAAGTTGATTTCACCGTTGCTGTCTTCATCGATTTCAGTTATGATTTTCTGAAAAACCAAACATTCTGAATAAACTCTTGCCATACTGTAATAAAGCTGTAGTCATCGTAGATGAAGAATAATGCTTCCACAGGATTTTTTTTTTGACAGATCATTGAAAAATTGCTTCAAGTAGATTGACTTTACTTTCCACTCAAGACTATCATCAGCTCATAGAAAATTATGCTCGGCACAAGTTAGCGTTAGAAAAATAGCTGCGAGCATGTTTAACAAAAAAATTAAATTCATCAAGTCAGTGGAACAGGCCTAAAACATTAGTCCTTAATCCCCATTAATTTGGCAACGTTGCGATCTATTAATTTTTTCCTGCCCTACCGACCATCTGGCAAGTTGCTATGATTAACCTTGCCATCCGCCAGACATGGCAGGAAACGATCGGTAAGACTGCGACACAGGTATATCTAGAGACGCGCGTCTTGAAAATATTTATCTATCATTCCAAGTCTTAATGGCAAGTGTTCGAGGAAATCTGTAAATATTTGAAATATGCCCAGGTGCGCAGAAGTGAATGAATATACTAACCGAAAAACAATTTCGATATGCTTACCCCGCCCCTGCAACCCCATTTCCTCTGCAAAAATCTTTTCGATAATGCTCAGACGCCTCTGAAACTGAAAACACGAAGGTTTGACGAACCTTCTTTCTTTTTTTTTGTTTTTTTTGCTCATAGTTTTGCCATCACTGTACCGATCTGCGACAACTACAAGTCTTTTTTGGATGTTATATGACATCACGAAACACCATTTCACTCATTTCCGTCTGCCTGCCCACTAAATAATCTTTGGACCGACTATAACTTGTAAACTACCGCTCAGAATTTGATGAGATCTCCGCATAAGGCTAATCTTTAGACCGTCTATAACTTGTGAATTACCGCTCAGAATTTGATGAGATCTTCGCATAAGGCTTTGTATTTTTTGAAAATCGATCCAGTGCAAAAATCAAACGTCGCCCAAAATTAGTCTTTTCTAGGTTTCAGACACTCCTGACCATTTCCAGAATAACATATTTAGGGATTAAAAGTTGGGGGTTGTAATAGTTGGGGAAGGGTGTATCTTGATTTTTTGTTGTTAGTAAGGAGTTTCCCAATAAGAACGATAGGATTTGAAATTGAAATAAAGCAAGTAAAATCTGATCAATTTGTATACGCATTGGCTTTATTTGATACTACATTTTATGTCATTTATAATTTAAGCAATACATTGTCACCACGGCTCTGCTTGCACTGGTTGATCCGGACACACCAACTTTCGATGACTCTGTGCAGCATTTTGGCTGGTGTAGCCGCTATAGTTAACTGAATGTTGCTGGGTTATTGGTATACACTTTAGATTAGACATACACCCATAAAAAATCTAATGGTGTCAAATCGCAAGATCTTAGCGGCCAATTGTGAGGTCCGTTTCGTGAAATAACTGACTGGCCGAGCTTATCAAGCAGTAAATCCATTGTTTCGGTTGCAGTTTGACATGTTTCACCATACTGTTGAAAATAAATGTCTGTATCAATTTATTCAACTTCAGGAAAAATGAATTCGTTTAACATGTCACGGTAACGCTCGCCATTGACAGTAACCGCACGACCTTCGTCCTTTTTAAAGAAGTGTGGGAAAATGCTGCCAGCGTACCATAATCCGCACCAAACTGTCAATTTTTCTGGATATAATGGTGCTTTATGGACCACTCTTGGATTTGACTCACTCCAATAACGACAATTTTGTTTGTCGTCATATCCATTCAACCAGAAGTGAGCCTCATCTGAGAACATGATTTTGCGATGAAATTCTGGATCGGTTTCCATCATTTCCAGCACCCAATCAGCAAACTCACGATGCAACCGATGGTCTGTTGGCTTGAGTTCTTGTGTCAATACCATCTTATATGAATGTACCCCGAGATCAAAACGTAAAATACGCCACCTTGTTATTCTGGATAGCGCCAATTGTTGTGAACTGCGTGGAACGGACACATTTTCATTTTCGGCGACACTGGCTGATACGGCCGCTATATTCACTTCACTGCCAGATCGCATTCTGCTATGTGGTGTACTATCGTGCACAGAATATTCACTTTCTAGTTTTTTAATTATGTGACGTATAGCGAGCTCAGACGGTGTTCCACGGCGACCACATTTAGCACGAAATGCTCTTTGATTAGCGAGAAAACTTCTAGAACTTTGATAGAATACTTGGACGATTTCCAAACGTTGAGGTAACGTTAAATAGTTCATGGTTAAATGGCAAGCCTTACTGAACACAAAATAACCCAGCTGTCAGAAAAATGACAACTGAGATTAGGAAACCCTGTATATTTAAACGTGCCGAACCCCGGTAATTCTGGGACATATTTCACACATCTTACATTCTCTCTGGGTTTACCGGCGGGTAAAATCTCTATGGGTCTCCTTCTATTACTGCCGCTGGGCCCCGTCGTGTCGTCCGTTATGCGCGGAGCCTACGTAGCCAGAGGCACGGTCCGACCGGTAGGGCATCTATCGACTAATTGTATGGGCCTATTTGACTGACTTGATCCATTTTCTGTTGTGCCAAACCTAATACTTTACTGATGACGGTGTTGCGTGGAAGATGCAGAGCTCACCTAGTTGACGTCGTTTTTAATCAACGGCGCGGTAGCAAACTTCATCAAAGTTCCAAGTTAAAGGCGGACCAAGGATTATTTGACAGGCAGGGGGACCAACGGAAATCATTAACATGGTTTATCGTCATGTATGTGTTCCGATATAGATTGTATGACTTTTAGAAAAACAAGTTATTTACAAGAGTTGTATGGTGTAACATAAAGCTTTTCAGGTAATGTCTTTTTTTATGTACAAACAATTGCTATCGAATAAAGATGTATTTATTAGGGAAATATATGTTTGGTGATGGTTGTTTCTTAATCTAAATCATTAACGTGGCGTGGACGGGAGTAAAACCTACTTTCTCTAAGCTTCTTGTCATCTAATGAGTTCTAGACGCTGATGATACTGCTGAATAAGTAAAACATTTCCACATAACTGAGAGTGTGAGTAGGCATTGGTACTTACATCAAGCTCATCTGCCGAAACGTGTGTTCCCAACATGTCCATTACTGTTCCAATCATATCGGCTTCAATGTACCCCTTTCTGTCAACATCGAAGACATCGAATGTGGACTTCAACACTGTCGAATGAACAGCAAATACATAATTTATAGAATACACCACTAGCAAGGATGAAAATTGAAAAACGATTATCCTTTAGATTGTTATTTCTTTATTGAACCTTCGAGTGCACGGGGTTTTGTCTAATTTATTCATTATCATTCTGTGTAAATATCTTTGAAGCAGCCGCATAGGCAGAAGCCTAAATACAGTGGCACCGCAGCTGCTACAAGGAGCTTAAAGGCCCTAAGTTAATCCGATTGTTGAACTGCTTAAGGTTAACACAACTGGTAAAGCTCTCCTCAGGCAGATTGCTCCATAATTTCCACACTGGAGGGACGAAGCAACGGTCTATCGGCCAAATCTGGATTGACGAAGTCCGACACCGCTAGGATGGTAGACTGAAGTCAGGCGGGCATGCCTGGCAGGCTCATCGCGTAACATCATGGAGGAGAGCTCTGAGAAGCAAAGCCCGTTTTCTTCCCATTACCTTCAAAACAAGGGAATTAATGATGATGTATTCCTCGAGTACTAAGAATTCCGGACATAAGATCACTCCACTCTGCGAGTATCTGGGTGAAGGGTGGATTGAAGCGAACAATGTCGATGATAAAATCTCCTTGCTATAGTCCGGCCACGCTTTCCTTATCAATATCTCAGACTCAGCGCCGACTAACCATCTTAGCTTTCCAAATTACGAGGTGCACTCCAATCTGAGGAAGAACGGGTGAGCCGTGGCTTCTGTCCACAGCAGTTTTTCCTGTTCCAGGCCTGAAAAACTTTCTGTGGCTTCGCCACAACTCCAAACCATCCTACAAATTTATTTGTTGTCTCTATCGCTGTCTTTCGGACCATAACTGGGATGACCCATGTCAAGATCGACTTCAAAGGTAGTTCTCGATGATTGAGCCGCCTCGTGTCGTTCCTCGTCATCAATAACTGATTTTACCCACTTTGGGATGGAATAATACATTCCTCATACGGTGAAAATGCCTAAGCCAGGGTCTAACGGCTGGTTCAACGAATCGTGTGATACTGCTTGTTTGTCGGTAGAAGATCAAAGCTCACAGAAACCTTCTTGAAAATTCCGGTGTCGAGTCAAAAACAAATATAACGAAGCAGTTCGCGATGTTAAAGACCAGGATGATGTAACAGTTATTCACAAGATAATTCACAGATTAAAGGGAAAATATGGGAGTAGCCTTCGCGTTTCTGGAGGAGGCGACGTGTCTGGTACACTAAAAAACGACAGATACCCTCATGCTCGCTTGCTGCTTTGGAGGTCTGGATATGCTTTGAAAGCGGGAATGTCTACTCCAGACGATCCTGGGCTATCCTGGTTGTAGGCGGTGTCATCTTAAAATTGTAATGATGGTTTCGTGCAATCTCGGTATGCGACAGAAGAACAATAAAATACATTTTTATTAATTGTCATTATACGAGGGTGATCCCAGAAGTACCCGGCCTGACCTAGAGATGGCGATAGTTGTTTGAAAAATATCATTGTATTAGAAAGTATGCAAACCTATAAAGCAAATGTGTCAAGTTTGAAGACCCCACGTTGTTTAGTATTTGTTTGGCAGCCATCAATACTAAACGTTTTCAGTGAATTTGCGAAAATGGAAAAAACTGGTCATCGTTATGTAGTACAATACTTTTATTTCAAAGGTTTCAGCCCAACCAATATAAAAGCTGAACTGGATTCTACTCTAAGTGAGTCTGCTCCTTAGTTTACAACAGTAAAATATTGGGTAGCAGAGATTAAACGAGGCCGTATGAGCTGCCAAGATGAGCATCGCAGTGGTCGACCAAATGAGGTGACGACTGCAGAAATGGTGAAGAAAATTCACAAAGCGGTACTGAATGATCGTCGACTGAAAGTGCGCGATCTAGCAGACATAGTAGGCATTTCAAAAAGTGCGGCTCATCGCACATTATCTGAAAATTTGGACATTTTTACAAAATTTTTGTGTTCTCTTCGTTGGGTCGGGTACTTCTGGGACGACCCTCGTACTTGCAAAAGACCACCGTGGTGGCCGAAGCGTCGTACAATAAACACAAATTAAAACATGTATGTGGTTTAATTGGACCAGTGGAGTCCTATGCTTCTGAGATTCAAAAGGCCTAAACACCCATGGGGTACCGTGGGGCTAAAGGGGGATATAGGGGAAATGGAGGGGGAGGCCACGCGGACCCTAGCGAGGGAACACGTGTGCATGCAACATGCACACATTCTGGTTCCGACTACGAGATCCGCCGGGTGGTACCTCCGCGTTCGACAGTCAGAGACCGTCTACCACCTAGGTCTACCGTCTAGCATTTGAGGTAATTTTTCAATTTCATTCCTCTTTTCTTACTCCGTAATCTTCTATGTAATAGTAAACTGCAAATCCAAATATTTGATTTTGCTTCTTAGATTGCTTGCATGGCATCTCCTAATTAAACTGTTTCTTTTTTGTTTTTGTACTGTTTTGTCTTCGAATATTGCTGTGTATTATGATATTTAAGGTTCTTTTAGCATTAATAAATTTTTGAATGTATGCTTATCTATTGTTGTAACTACATCAAAGGCCTTGTTGGACATGACGAGTAGCCTCAAGCTGATTTCTTGACAGGAGATGATTATAAGGTGTTGTGTCTTCTGTATGATATAAAAACATAAACTTATAGATACTTACTAGACAGCTGCTCTCTGTCTAAGTCGTCCTGAAATAATAAGTGAAACTGGTTTGAGAGATTTTTCCATTGAATGTTATGGATGGGTGTAAAGTGAGTAGGAGTTACATACGCCTTCCTACTGGATATATACAAAATTTGTTGCTAATATTTTTGTTATGTTATAAAATAATCAAAAACAAGAATAATTATACCCAATGTTCCGACATCAAAATATGTTTCTGATAATAATAAGAGAATTGGTAAGATTTATATTTCTACTTTTCTATGGTGTACTCACCATGGTCACCGGTTTCACAACCGACCCGTATGAAGGTATCTTTATCCACGGCGGCACTCGCGGCATTAAACTATCAAACTATAATGGGGTTGCGTATATATACATGTAGAACAAGGAAGGTTTAAAATAGCCGGTTTATATTAAGTCGATGTCGATGCGAAGAACAACTTCCAGTGCGAATCCCAATTGTTTCTTCTACGATACGTACAGTCTCGGGCCAGTTTATGAAACGCACCAAAAAATATTTGCAGTTGTATGAATGATTTCTGAATGCGTAACCATTTATTTTAATGTAAGACTCCTTGTCACACGGCTAGGTCTGTTCAAACTTGTTTAGAGGAAAATATCTCTTTGTTGGAATGGCCGGGTAATAGCCTCGTTATAGAAAATGTGTCGGAGCCGATGAAGAGGAACAACAAACAAAACCAAACTCATGAAAACTTTTTTAATTTGTGGAATCAAATGCAAATGCACTGCAGTTTTCGATTGTCAGCATGTCACGCATTTGTAGTGGCAAGATGTGGCTCTGTGCCATTTTGGAACATTTTACTAGCCACGCCATACTGGCGTAATTATAAAAAATTTCTAAAATGAGATACTATGTTTTTTAGCGTTATAATGACATGTACGCTACGAAAAACCATGTCAGCCATCTCCGTTGGTCTGTCTGTCTGTCGGTGTGCCCGCTAATTTTTGGAATGCATATAACGTGGAAAGAACTGTTAGGATTTGAACGACACTTTCACACAAGGTTACTACTATGCCAAGGATGAAAAAGGTAGTGTTTGAAAATCGGTCGAATAGCGGCGCAGAAACCCAAAAATAAAAAAGTAAAAATCGTCCAAACTTCGTTTTTTGACGTTCCAGAGAACCCTGATCATATTTGGAAAAGAAAAATGTGGTGAAAATTTTGGGGGTGGTGGGTTGTACGAGCCCCTTCCCACTTCAGTTGGCCCACTTCAAGATTTGTACCAAAATATGCCTTTATAAACTAAACATGACGAAACTATTTACTTATCAAACAATTTATTGTCTCAAAGACATTTTAGATACACTCTAGACGTAAAAAATACATATTTGAAATCACTTAGACCTATAACTAATAGAACATCTGAACAAATAAACAATGTGCGAATAAATGCGCGAAGTTAACAAAGCAACAATTGAAAAATTACCATTGGGTAACATCACCTTTATTTTTTATTACGGCTAAAATTCTTTGGGGCATAGTGTTAACCAAGTTTTGGCAAAAATTTGGTGTAAAGCAATCCCATATTTCTCGAAGCTTTTGTCCCAGTTCGGTGATTGTACGAGCAGGATGTTGTCGCCATCTCGTGCCACAAAGTTTCAATAGGTGACAGATCTGGACTGCTAGAAATCCATTGCAAAAGTGGTACATTATTTTCTTCCATCCATTTTGTAGCATTTTTTGAGGTATGGCACGCTGCACCATCTTGCTGAAACACAAAATCTTGGCCGGATGTCAAACATTCTTCCATCACTGGTAAAAGCGATTCTTCTAAAATTGCCAAATATTTCTTTGTATCCACATTTCCATCAATAAAATGAAGTTTTCCTACTCCTTTTGATGACATACTGCCTCAGACCATAATGGATGCTGGAAATTTCACTTTTCTCTTCAGACAGTCAACATGGAATGCTTCATTTTTTTTGCGAATAACTCTACTGCGACTGTTACCACAACAAACTTCGAATCGGGCCTCATCACTCCATTGTATTGCACACCATTGTTGAGGTGTCCATTGTCTATGTTCTTTAGCCCATCTAAGCCGATTCTTCTTTTGAAGTCGAGTTAATAGTGGCCTTTCTTTGGCGTATAAACAAGTTGTGCAACTGTAGGGTTTTTACTTCACTTTTTTTTATAAGAAAACTTACCTTGCAAGTGCTAAATCCCAGTTTGTGGGCCTCTCTATGAGTTGTGGACCTCGAAATTCTCCTTCCAACAGCGTCACTCCACAGAGCACTTAATTGTAAATAATTGGCACGCATGTTTTTCACGATTATTCTTCTTAATGCTCTTCGGTCGGCATTTGTGATATTACTTTTTTCACATATCGTGGCTTAATATTAACTGAACCAGTTACGCTGTATCTTCTAACAATATTTCTCACACTGTACCGCGATAAATCTAACAAAGTTGCAATTTCTGAGTTTGATTTCCCAGAATTAAAAAATTTAATTATCATTAACCGAATTTTCTCACTAATAACCTTTCCTCTACCCATTTTGGAAACTTTAACTACCCAAAACTATTTTAAACGTATTCTGACAGCTGTGATTAATAAAAACAATTGTCATGGCTCTTATTTTTCAGAGCCACCTATGCGTTATAGACTTATTTTGCATTGAAATGAAAATAGGTTGATATGCAGTAATTGCAACATGTGTTATTTTTATGCTGCAAATTTGATTAGGGAGTGATAAAGTTGGTGTTTTCTACTATATATTATCAAAATATTCATTGTTAATATTTTAAACCTATAACACCCTGCTAGATTTTTATTATTTGTGTTTGATAAGAAAAAAACTAAGATTTCAATAGTTGGGCCAACTGACGTGGGAAGGGGCTCCTATGGGGTGCGGAGGGTATATCTCAATTATTTGAAGTTAGTGTACCCCAACATTTGCTCTTAACCTTCCAGTACCCGCGCGGGGTACCCAAATACCCCACTAGTAATATCTCTATCTATACTGGAGTGGGGGAAATGACGATCGGCATATAGTTTCGTCTATTCCTCGAGTGTAGTATACGCAGGCTGGTGTTAAGAGTTGGCTGCAGTCGAGATCACGTGGTGTGTAAGCTGCGAGTCGAAATTTGATTGGGGTATTTAGATACCCCTCGCGAGCATCGGAGTAACAAGGAAGTAAGGGTATTTTTGTTTGTTTTTTGAGGTTTTTTGCAATTTATTGGTGTTATTGCAGGTAAAAATATGGCAAATTTATCAAGTAGAGACCCACAGCAATGGCTGAAATTGTATGATGAAATGCTTGACAGTGTCGATGAAGAAGTTTATGGTGAAGATGATCCGTCGGAGCAAGAAACAGATAACTTGGAAGTACAAGGTGAATGTTCAGATACGGAGCCAGAGTCTGAAGAGGGAGCTGATATTTCGAATATAACTGAAGAAGATTCTGTAAAAAACGGTGGTCCATATTTTTTGGGAAACGATAAAGAAACTAAATGGAGTAAAAACAAACCACCGACGTCAAGAACAAAGGCTCATAATCTTATATTGAAAGTTCCAGGGCCAGTAGGCAACGCAAACAACGCCAAATCCTCGATGGACTGTCTTAGCCAATTTATTGATGATTCAATGATTGAAATCGTTGTGAAATGTACCAATCTATACATTGCAAAGATTCAAGCAAATTTCGATAGAGAACGTGATGATAGATTGACTGACGCATGTGAGATAAGATCTTTTATAGGAATACTTTATTTGGCGGGATCTTTGAAATCTGGGAGGCAGAATATTCGGACATTATGGAACACAAATGGCAAAGGAATTGAAAACATATATATCAACGAGTTATAATCGCTTCAGATTCCTGTGTAGAAGTATCAGATTTGATGATGTAAATACTAGGGAAGATCGACGTATGTACGACAAACTAGCAGCGATTAGGGACATTTTTCAGCGATTTGTGAACAATTGCCAGTCTTCAGTGATACCAAGCGCTTTTCTAACCATCGATGAACAACTGGTTGCCTTTTGAGGAAGATGCGCCTTCTGGCAATATATACCTAATAAGCCCAGCAAATATGGAATCAAAATATTTGCATTGGTCGATGTCAAAGCCAAATATACATACAGGTTAGAAATATATGCAGGTAAACAACCGAACGGGCCGTATGGTTTGAGTAACAGTCCTGGAGATGTAGTAAAAAGGTTAGTTGAGCCTCTAAAAGGTACAGGTCGTAACATTACAATGGATAATTGGTTTTCCAGTGTACCTCTTGCTAGGGACTTATTGAAGGATAAATTGACTATGGTTGGTACGCTCAGGAGAAATAAAAGAGAGATTCCATTAGAATTCACACAGACTGCTTCTAGACCAGAACAGAGTAGTATGTTTGCCTTTCAATCAGATCTTACCTTGCTCTCTTACGTTCCAAAAAAGGCAAAAATGTATTGCTGATTTCATCAATGCACCACGATGACGAGGTTGATAGGGAATGCTTGAAACCTGAAATAATCCTGGAATACAACAGAACTAAATCTGGAGTGGATGTTGTAGACAAACTTTGTGCCCAGTATGACGTGGCTAGAAATAGCCGACGTTGGCCTCTGACAGTTTTCTTTGACATTCTAAATATTGCTGGTATCAACGCACTTTGTCTATTTGCTATGAACAATTTTGAAAAACCAAACAGAGAACATTCCCTGCAAGAGTTAGCTGCAGAGTTAGTACGGCCACAAATAATGAAAAGAATATATATGGATAATATCCCAAAAAATATAAAGAAAAGGGCTATCGCTTTACTGAACATTGAGGAAACTACTCTAGCAACAGACAAGACAAGCAACAAAAACTTGGAAAGGGTAGGTGCTATTTATGTCCCAGATCAGCTGATAGAAAAACGCCAATTACATGCGTAAAATGTGTTGAGTGGATATGTAAAATTCATCAAAATTTCGTATGCCGTAATTGCCTTGATAGCAGAGCAATAGAAACCAATTGTGACAGCGAATAGATGCTTTTGCCATATTATACCTTCAGAGACCTGATTTGTTAGTTAGGACTTTATATAAATATTATGTTAGCATTTCTTTCGTAAGTGAATATTTTTTGTTCTGTTATAAAAGCATTTAGAAAAATTGTGTGAATATATTTTTCAAATAAAAGCTCCAACAATTGTTTTGTTTAAATTAAAAAACACAAAAACAGTTTGGGGTACCTCAGTAGCCCACGCGAGTACCTACGTGATTTTCCCCGCGCGAGTACTGGAAGGTTAAAAAAATTACCGATTTTTACATTTTTTTTATAGTTATAGGGTACTCACTAGCTTCAAATTGAGCTATCACTCAACCTCTCGTTCTATTTGGAAAAAATGTTAATAAAAGGTACAAAACTACCATCTTGAGATCTTCAAATGCCTTCGTTACGCCAAAGTATAGAATCCATGTATCAATATCAATACCATGAATTCCAGCTTGCTGAGTTGATGCGTACGACAAAGGCAGGAAGGAGGGCTTCTTGTAGCACTGCACATGCTATACGAAAGTGACTATTAAGGCTTAAAGAAGGGATATCATGTACGAGTTTCAAAACCCGTTCACAAATTTTGTTACACATCGGTATTTAATCGCAAAACAAAAAACAGTATAAAGACGATACCTTATTTCTAGGTCCATGGCTATCATTGTTTTGGACCTGGACATCACTTTTGTGGATTCTCCCGAAACGAGGTAATCTTTGCCAAATTTGCCCAGAACGCGATCAGTATCTTGTAGCATTCGGGGAGGGAGATCCTCCGGGGCCCCCACTGAGGGGGCCTCCCGGAAAGCACTGTACATAAAAAGATGTTTAATGGCTGATACTTAGAAAGTCATCAAGGTCTGTCAAAAATTTACATTTTGTTTTTTGTCCTGCAAAGTGAAACACCCTAGAATCCGTGCAAGCCTCAACCAGCTTCAACGTAGTTGAATACAGGAAATACTTAGCAGATTACAGAAACTGGATCAAAGCAATTGTTAAATTTCGCTTTTTTATTCAGACTAGTTTATATCACAAAATACAGTTCATTTTATTTATGTTACAATACTTCTAGTTAAAGTTGCCTGCGACAAAAATCTTGCAAACAATTTGGCAGATGTTCCGTTCTAGAATTTGAGCCAGTTAGTCGTCGCCACCTGTCATTACTTCCATAAATTCTGCAATTACAAAAAACAGTAAAACAGACAATTATAGAATATTTTCGTGGAAAATCTATTGAGATCATCTTCTGGAAATACGAATCGTTACATATTGTTTGTTTATAATTCATATTTCATTCCTGTTTTACATAACATTTCATAGGCAATCAAAAACTCTATTTTGATTACAATCTATACCAGGATTTGTGCTGTGACGCAGTTTCTATGCTAAATGTATATTTTTTATGTTCATACTATATTTGGATATTGTTAACATATCTATCTTTTGAAAAATGTAGTTATTACCATCAAAGTCAACGGTTCCAGAACCATCAGTATCAATTTCTTGAATCATCATGTCCAATTCGTCGCTGGTTAGCTTATCATCTAATTCCTTCAAGATTTCTTTGAGTGTGCTAGTAGTGATGTAGCCATTGCCTGAAATCAGTAACTATTGCATTATTTTGTATTTGCAACCTTTCAACTACAAAAACCTACAAAATCTTGATATTGATTTATTATTATTTCCGAAATGACTTTTGGAGTTATAATAAAATCAGTCCACAATATGATATACAATTCAAACTCAATGCAGCAAATTTTTGAAACGTTCATATTTTCAAACCGTTCGGGAATCGTAATTAAAAGCAGAAATAATCTGAATAATTTCTTCATTTTTTCCTGATTCTTCAATCTCCGTAGTTACGACTTCTGACACGTGGTGCGTTTATATTTTATTAGACTGAACCCGCGGCTCCCCCCGCGTGGAAGTAGTGTAAAGTATAGCTCATTCTTTCTTCAATGCAATATCCAAAGTAGTGCAATGAACATTTTGTATCCATTATTTTAAGGCCATAATAAAAGTAAAGAGTTTACTTGAAAATTAATCGATCTTAGGATATACTTAAACTTAAATTTGTCTTAGATGTGCATTTCCGAAATTAAAAACAGGTGTTTCCGGCTAAAAGTAATTTAGTCTTCAAATGACCTTGATGGTCATAATCAAGGTCATGGACATACTTGAACATAAGTTTTATTGCTCTTTTAATTTACAGTGTCAAAAATAGAGGTTTATTTTTAAGGGAACTGTCCTAACCTTCAAACCCTACAGCTTTATATTTTCCTTTATGAAACGTTTTTTTGCTCTTTCCTCACTTTCTGGACTCCCTCATATATCCATGAAGATTATATTAAAGACTGTGGGCATACTTTAACGTAAAATTTTCTGCTCTTTGCATTTCCGGTTTCCGGTGTCACATTCAAGAGCACGATTAGATTAATCCTTTCAAACCTTAAAACTTTTTTTTTTTCTCTAGAAATCGTATATTTCGAAATGTTTTCATCTATCCATACTTTTTGAACACCTTGCATATTTTCGGGGATAAAGTTACGGCTAAAACCTTTCCCGGGTTTCAGATATTAAGTATACAGATTTTCACGTGATTTAGACGTGGTGCTGACAACCGGGACAGACATTCACGTTTGTAGATACGAGTATATAGATTTAATTTTAAGAAGCTTACCTTCCTTGTCGTACAATCGGAAAGCTTCCTTCAATTCTTGCTGCATAGCTTCTGCATCCTCCTCAACCATGAACCTGGATGCTAAGGTTACAAATTCTTCAAACTCCAACTCACCAGATCCTAGGGGATAAAGGTATACCTCTAAATTTGAAACTTCTTACACAAGCTCGTCTACAAGTCGCAGCCACCCATAAAGAAATGATGATGTAAAATGTTCCATGGAATCCTAGACTATTATTACTTTCTATTTAGTGCGAGACCCCAATGCGGTTTCGGTTGCATAACTCTCTGTTGCTGACTATTGACTATGGCCATCTCCACTTAAGAGGCCTTAGAACTATTAAGTATCCTGATGCCACATAAACGAAATGAATGAATACGAGTACTACGTTCGTGGTTAGTTTAGTAGTTTGAATCTCGAATCTTAACTCTTAGGTCCGGTTTTTCAATCGCTGGTTAACTTTCGAGATTGGTAATTATAACTTGTAATTTAACTATTATAGTTTTTCAATATCTGGTTAACTCATACGTTGCGTTTGATCTGACAACGTAGCCTCTACTTCTGGAATAATCCTGATTTGTGGATTTTGTAACGTTCGATGTTTGTGTGTAGTGTAATCCGCGACAACTCATGTCATTGTCAAGCAAAAGGGTTAGGAACTGCGGGGTAACTACAACTTTCTATTTAACTACTAGGTAGATGGCCTTCTGGTTAAAGTCAACTACCGTTTTAGGGCAAACCTGCTATTGAACAGCACATATTAAGAGTTCACTTCTGGTTAGCTGTAAGACCATAGTTAACCTGCAATTCAAAATCCGAACCTAACCAATGTGGTAGAAATCGCACAGAGACCTTGCACTTGATGTCGACTGTAGTTCACAACTTTGCTATAACAAAATTCTATGGTACCTTCTGGTCCTAAATATGCAATTTTAGTCCTATACGTACCATCTTCGTCGACTTCATTGATGATATCCGCCAACATTTGTTCAGTTGTTTGAACGCCTAACATGCTCAATATTGTGCCAATCATCACGGTACCAATGCTGCCTTTCTTCTCGACATCGAATGTATCGAAGGCATTTTTCAGCACTGAAAGAAATATAAGGTAGCCACATTATACCAGCATACCATAGGTATACGCAGCAAATTCGTTTATTTTTAGAAGATTAAAGAATAAAGATTTTTTTCATATCAAGGAAGATGCTCTACAAAAAAGTTTCTAGCTTCGACCTGAAACTTTGAGTTTTGGACAAGGTTCTTAACTGTTTTATGTTTACAAACAGTGATACTTACATGCAACTTGATCTTTGCTCAATTCCTCGGCCTGGAATATTAAAAACAGTTTAGTATCAGCATCTATCAAAATATTTCACCATGAGCCAACAATGTGCTGTATTCCGTCCAAAAAGAGGTTTGAGAGATACTGGTACAACTAACTGGACTTTTTCGAACTAAATAAATAGTATTATTACGACACAACAAAAGTATAGGAATATTTCAAATTTACATGACATAGAGAGTCACTTAAATGTGATTTCGGATGATGAATTGTTCTTGAGGCCTACAATGAAATAAATTGCCGTAAATCAAAAATCTGTAATATGTGATATACTACGTGTACTTTTATACTCTGCAAAGACAAAATTATTGATTTTTTTCATAATTTTGAATCTATATTACTCTTTCAAATGGAAAACGCAACAATGTAGAATTTTATTTCATTTTAATAGAATTTATTCATATTGAAATTCCACATAATAGCACAAAATTATTTTTGTTCAATAACGTGATCAATGAAATGTAGTAATTGTAATCATAAAAGAACTACGAATACATTTGCGTCAAAATGTAAAAAGGCAGTAAATGAGCCTTTTACTTCAGTACGGAAGTAGTGATTAGTGTATACGATTTCTGATAAGGTAAATAAAGTTATTGCATCCCTGATATTCATGATAGGCCTCATGAGAGAGAGGTGTAGCTTTTTGGCAGGGGTAGCTAACTCTATTATCATTAATCCCTATCTATAACATGGCCTTGAGGTAAACTAAATGATGTTCAGAAGCCAGCGCGTGGTCTGCGCTTACATAACGGTCTCGGCCGATGTACTGCTGATAGTGGCTGGTATCCGGCCAATTGATTTGCTGGCCCAGGAGCGATGCGAACTCCATAAAAAGGACACCGAAGCCGGACCGACGAAATCGATGAGCTTTTTGTCAGATGGCAGGAGTGATGGGACAACTGCCCATGGTGAATGGAGTAGAAGGGTGATCCCAGATATTATGAGTTAGATTTACAAGGATGCGGTGCGGATAGATTACTACACCGCATATTTCCTTACAGGACGTGGTTGTTTTCAGCTACCTGAAGAAAAGGATACTCCTAGTCCAAGAATATAGTAAATGAGTTAACTACCAGAGACAGCTGGCATTGACGCTCGGCGAGAAGCCCACTGCTGACAATTGTAAAGAGACGGATGATACTGAAGAAGATGCAGAAAGACAAAAATGAGAACCAGCATTAAGTTCCTACATGCTTTCTGCTGCTACAGCGGGTTCTGACCAAAACCTCACCTCCACAACACCGTGGTCTGAGTTACTCAGGGGGGACAGGACAGCAGTGGTGTAAGGGACAGAATGCGTGGTCAGAAAGAGATCCAGCAAGCTAATGGCGTGTGACGAGACGCCGGGAAAAAAGTAGGGCTCGTCACCAGCTGGGTCAGCCCTTGAGTAAGAGCGAACGCTTCGACTGCACGATCTGCTGCATCGGTCTTGTTTGAACCCAAAGAAAGCTCGTTATGGGCATTGAAGAACTACCTCTGAAGCGGGGTGATTGATGTTCAGGAAGTCGATCTGGATGGCGAGGTATTCGAGTAGGTCATCCCAGTTATGATCCGATAGAGAGCGATAAAGGCAGCAAATAAATTTGGGGATGGTTTGGAGTTTGGAGAATGTTCTTCCGGTCTGATTCCAAAGAAACATCTCTGGAGCAGGAAAGACTGCTGCGGACAAAAGCCACAACTCCCCCGTTCATTCTCAGATTGGAGTGCACCTCGAAGTTAAGATGGTTAATCGGTTCAGACTCTGAGATTTTTGTCTCCGCTAAGATAAGCACGGTGGGACGATTGGATTGCAGGTAGTGATGAACAGCATGAATGTTGCTGTTAATCCCGCAGATGTTCGAAAAACAAATTTTATCTTCGATGTTGTTCCCTCGAGCCCACCCTCCACCCGGACATTCCGAGAGTGGAGTGAGTTCACGTTCGGAGTTCTTAGTGCTCGAGAGACTCATCATCCTTAATTTCTTTGATTTGGAAGATAACCGACTGCATAGCTTAGGTGTGGAAACATGCGGATATTTAGAAGACACCCTGGGGAAGGCTAGCGGGTGGTACCGCCTCGGTCGACTGGTCCTTGTCTACCACCTTCTTTTTAGGTGTTAGTGATATCAAACAGACCTAAATTGACCCGTTGGCAAACTTGTTCCGCCATCCGGCAATCGGTACTGAGGTATTCCTTAACGCGTGTACAATCTCTTGAACGGGAAGAAGTTGTATACTGGATACAACAACTTCCGGGACAAGCATTTGCCACGGCCCCGCTCAGTAGGGTATAAAGAGGATGTGTTCTGCTACTGTCTCTTAGATGGCTCTAGGATCTTTCAGATCCCTTCTAAGATCCGGAACGCAGTATATGGTTGACTGTCCTCATGTAGAATAAATCGAAGTAAAAGATACTCATTTTGGTTAATCCATTATATAAAACGATCTATTTAGGTAAACTGATCCGTGGATTTCTTTGAGAAGATAGCAATTCCCAACATGTACACACAAAAAAATTAAACACAAAACAAAGATATAATGACTAGATAGATATTTAAAAACGAATGAAAAGCTCTTTCCGTGTCGATTATCAGAAAAAAAGAACCTATAACGAACTCAACGTCTTACTTCGAAACTGTGGTGATCAAGAAATAATCCAAGGTTATGCTCATCTTAGATATCATTTAGACTACAACTGATCAATATAACACCCGTAATAGTCTTTCGTTTTTATGTTGGTTCGTTATCATGCTCGTTTACACATACACCACTATGCGATTATGCAACTGTATCAAATTCAAATCAACAAGGAAAAAGGAGCCTGATGACATTAAATTTTGATTTGGAAAATAGAGGCGGTAAGAGGAAAACAAAAAAAAAACGACAAAGAAATGTCAAGGCACATCTGAACCCCAACTTTACGTGCATGTACTTTGAAGATCATTCCAGAATATGTCGATAACGATCACGTTTCTATTTATGATGAAGATCAAAAATTTCCAAAAAGGCAGGAAGACACATTTGTCATCATGAGAAATGAAAGTGCCCTATGACATGTTTATCATGAATTCACTCACACTTTCTCAAATACAAAATCCTAATAAACAAAGAAGAAACTTACCGACATTTTGGTTGTTGTATAGCAACCTAAAGACTGCAAACAATTTGGAGTACAGTGAAATTTTTCTGTACCTCATTGCGAGTATATATACATAAAAGTTAAGCATTCTTAAAATAGCTGCACGTAATTAATCCATGATTTTTAAATTTTAATTTTAATTTTCCCAGACGCAGCTGCCTCCATACGTTCCGTACAGGAATGTATTCACTCAAACAAAAGTTTGGTCCTACTTTTTATTCATTTTCCATATTAAATCCTTGCAAGTAAATCACATCTGAGAATTCCAGATTTTCGACAAATCACTCTGCTTGAAAATTGTTTCTGCAAATTGTTTGTTTTCTAAATACCTGGGTATAAGGAGCTTGAAGAGGCCTTGTAACCCGAACCACTTTAGGCTAACAGAAGTGGGAAGACTCTCCTCAGACGGATTCCAGGCTAGATCTTATTTTGGCGTTGTACAGAGTGAGCAAGACTCCGACTAGCCGAAATGAGTGGCTCTTCGATAGAACTCGTCAACCATCGAAACAAGGTGAGCACTAGAGCGCTTGTTGTCAGTCAAGGTACAGTACAGTAAAGTATACCAGATTGTTGCGTACCCAAGGTAGTGGTAGTTTCCACATATCCCGTCAGAGAGGAAGTCTATACTAGTCTTCTTCTCTCCAGCTCATCAGCAGAGATCGGCTTGCCACACTGAATTTAGAAGCAGAAGATCTGTAGTCTACAGTTTCTTTCAATCTTCAATACAGTCTGTCACAGTTGACTAATACCGCTTCATCTATTTTGAAACACCATACCCTATATATAGGCGTTGATATCTTTATGACCCTAATAGAATTTTGGCATTATCATAAGTCAGCGTGGAATCAGTTTTAATCAGGGTAATTTTTAGGAGGTTGTTCAATAATTTTGAAATATTCTTCATAAGCTGTGAGGTCTAATTTCACGTTATCCTCAAACTCATGCCAAAGCATAATGAGTTCTGAGTTTGATGCAATTTTTGAAAAGTGTATCTTTTAACAGTTTAGCTTTTGTATTATTTAATATCCATCATACGGTTTACGTCATTTTTTTATGTCCGCCATAAAAGATTCAAAATGACGTTATTTACTATGTTTTGTTCATCAAACCCTTTCATCTGATACCCATATAACTTTTTTTGCGGCGGCCACCATGTTGGATTTACAATAACGTCCCTTTGCTTACTGCGTTTCGATCATCAAGCCCTTTGATTTGATACCAATATCACAGAGGCTACGGTGGAGGTGATAAATCACCATTCTGTAATGTCGACCATATAAGAAAACTTGCAAGATTTTATTAATCACAGATACGAACAGGTTAAACTAAATAAATGCTTGTAAAAATGATCCCGGTGATTCTGATAGTTTGATAGCTTACGAGGCGGAAGCCAAGACGTTGTTGTTCAGATGAACTTAGTCATTTTAAACAGTTTTTGTAGAGGAAAGCTTCGTTATTTGATCATTGTTACTCCATCGGTATGTTTGTAATGATCGAGCTTTTTAAGTCGATGAAGGACAACATTAACTTTGAATAGTCCAAAGAATCATCACTTGAATATTTGCTTTATTCTTGGGAAACATCTTGTATAGTTTATATCATAGCTTTATTTATCAAGTAGGGGCATGTTATGGTATTCAACTTGCACTAAAGATACCAAAAATAAATCATGACTTGCAGAAATACTATTTTCCATCATCTCCTTATTTTTTAATAGTTAAATCTGTGTACTACTACCAAATACCCTGCATTTTTTTTCTTGTCGTAACTTCAGAGTGGCTTTCTGCTGGTTACATCTCTGTATCCTGTTTTCCTCTGATGTAAAACAATACAGGGCACCTCAAAGCAATTAATCGTTCGGAAATGAGTCTGCTTGGCCCGCCGGCAATTTTCTAACCGATTTCGGAGTCTGGACTTCGTCCAAATCAGTAACCAATCACAGCATGGAATGTTTTAAACGACTGTAAAATGCATAGCCAGACAGACACATGCTGCCGATGCACATCGACAATCGGTTACATCGACTTACGGCGTGTTTAGGAAACGTTTGTTATGTGAATAGGCCAGGTGCATTACGTTTTGGGGTGGACGTTTTCTAGAAGTAATAGGGATTTTTGTTGGATGTGATCCAGGCAATAGTTAGTAGCAAAAATACTACTACAATAAAACCTCGATTATTCGAAATAATATGGACTCAAGTGCTTTCGGATAATCGAAATTTCGGATAAAACGGAAATAAATATTTAGACTCATAATGCTTTAATTGAAAAAATTAAATGCGTGTGTTAGCTGAGCAAGTTACGTAAAATATAAAAATGTTGATACAAACATACATATTTACGAGTATTTAGTAATAAATGAAGTAATTTTTAACTGTACACGTTTTGCATTGTTCTTATTTTTAGCAGCAATATACCTCCAATGATAGATAAGTAGCACATCAGCTGCTTTTCTCGTTGTTCGACGTAAGTCAACGCTTTTTGTAGAGCTTCTAAACCCTCAGAATGTGATATTTTGGCAGAGATTTCTGTCTCATTGTCACTAGCATCACTTAAAACTGTCTCATCGCCATTCTTACAAACAGTTTTTATTAGTTCTGTATCAGTTAATTCTTCCACCAATTCATCACCATTAATACACTCACCAACAATCTGCTTGGGTAATATTTTCACACCCTGCTATTTTTACGACGAGATCATGTAAGTTTTCGTTGTTATTCTCATAGTCTACGCAAGGTTCAATTTCTTCCTGAATTATTGTCGACCAAGATTGCTGTAAAGTAGAATTTTTTTTTCTGGGCTCCAGGCTTGTGCTATCCAATATGCCACATTCTTGAGGTTATTATCTTTTTCACAATCAACGAGGTTACAACCATTATCAACTTGATCTGAAATTTGCTCTAATAATAAACGTCTGTACTTGCTTTTTAAATTTTCTAAAACTCCTTGATCCATTGGCTGAATCAGTGACGATACATTAGGGGGCAAAAACGTCACTCGTATTTCTCCACTATTAAGTTGCTCCTCACTTGGGTGGCTCCGAGCATTGTCTTATACCAAAATACATTTTCTCGGATATCAGCGCTCACTCTTGGAAACAACATGATTACAAAACAAGTCCATGCATTTTTTCGATTTTTATACCACACTGAAAGAGCGCTGACGGACGTGTTTAAATGCTGTTTAGCTAATTTTCTGATCAACAACAACATAAGTTTGTGTCTACCGGAAGCATTGCTACAAGCAAGGATAGTCACGGGTTCTTTAATGCGTTTGTAACAGGAGCTCCAGATTCTTGTTTTGAAGCTAAACTTTTCGCCGGTAACATTTTAGAGTTTAGGCCCCTTTCGTCGCAGTTGAAATTTGTTCTGGATTTAAACCAGACTGCTTTTCGCGTATACCGTGTCTTTTTTTCCATCTATGCTGCCAACCATCACTGGCTGTGAAGTTATCAGGCGCCTTAATTACTGACAATTCTTCACTTAAGTTGACTGCCTTTTGCTTTAGAATTGGTCCGAAAATTGTGTTCGACGTTCTCGATTCTGTGCAAACCACATATATAAAGCTTCATCCACTTTTTGATATTGCCCTTTTTATAGTTTTCCGTAACGGCTGCGATGATGTCAGAACACTAGACCACTTTTCAATTTTCTCGCGTTGTTTTTTTCCATTCTGAAATGGCTATCTAAACGTCTGATTGCCTCAAGTTTCTGTTCTATGGTAATAACCAGGCGTTTACGATTATTTCTATGCTGCCTTGTCTTAGCGATTATGAACCTGACTGAAACAAACATACACGCACACATATCAGTGAATTCCGCAAATGCCGAAAGGGGAACTACCGTCGGCTATTTCGGATCATGCGCCGATTTGCCGAACAACTTCGGTTAAAACGGACAAATTATTGTATGCGATCTGTTTTGGATAAAGCGGATTTCTGATAATCGCGATTCGGATAATCGGGGTTCTACTGTACGAGTATATGCGTCAGGATGAAAAGAGGAGGAAATTTATTACAAAATACTAACAACAATTATCTTTCCGGTTTTTCTGTGGACTTGGACCCAATTTGGTTGAATATGCTTGAAGTAAAGATTTAATTAATATTCTTCAAGCTAACCAGTGGACCATGAGTTTATGGTCAAGGTCAAGGTGACATCAAGTGTGAATCATACCGCCGGCAGCTTTGAGAAGGTTTCAAATAGATCAGTGATTTATAGGGTTGAAGAGTTTTCCTCCTATACATACAGGGTGACTTCGAAGTTGAGTCATTTATTTTAACAGTGAGTAGATCTGATCAAAAGAAATGTTTTTTTCCTTTACCATTTTTCTGGTAAAATTAAAGTAACAAAGTTATAGCCCTTTGGAAGTTTGATTACCGCCCTGTCTCAATAATAATATCATGTACTCGTGTTTGGCAACAACGGATATAATCCGCCTTACCGGTTCATCGCATCGGAAACAAAAAAGCGAAAGAATTTGGAACGACGTTTTTGCAATTAAGTGTTTTATTCAGTTCAGTTATACATACAGTCAGTATCTGTCGGTTAGCGTGTGAATAGTTTCTGTTGCGTGGCTCAAACGAAATAAAAAATGGCACATGTTTATGCGGATCGGTTTCCCAATCGAGTGCAACCAACCCCTCGTGCCTTTGTTAATGTAGTACAACGGGCTCGTGAATCAGGTGACTTAAGACCTCACAGGGGACCTCACGATCAAATACAGGTCCGCACTGAAATACTTGTCGGGAGGATACTTTATAAAACAAGGTAAAATTTTTTTTTTAATTTTTTTTTATTTTTACACACATATTCTGGTTTATCTTCCTTCTACAATCATTATCTGAAAATTAATGACTCAACTTCAAAGTCAGTATTTTTGATGTATTAACTGTGGAAAATTTGTTTTAATTGTCACTTGTTTTATTTTACTGTTGCTTACTGTTATCTTGCTCTAGTTTCAAGTTTTATTAACAATTCCCATATTGTTTTTTTGTAACATCAACAGAACAACAAAACAATAGAGAATTTGAATTTGAATCCAGGTTTTTTCTCGTGGTTTGCTGTTGGGTCTCAAACGCGCAGATCTTCTACTCTGCAATCTCAAGTCTAAACTGTCTCTTATAAAATTGTCTCTCAGGCCAAACAACATCGTTCCCTTTAGAAGTAG